AACCACTTGATTATGTTTAATTGCATTTTTAAAATTTTATTTTAGCTACTGGGCTAGAAAGCTATCTTTCCATGTGCCATGTGGCAGAAGGGGAAATGTATGCATGCAGTAAAAGTCAGAGAAGAAATGCATGGTTGAAGATAGATAGATAGATAGATAGATAGATAGATAGATAGATAGATGCCTTTGAAAACTGGACTGCTGGAAAGCAGGCTATAAGTCAAGAAGTTCCCAGAAAGTAAGTTGTTTGCACTTCACTGGCTAGCCTTAAACAATTGACTCTCTTTCACATCAGAAGTACACAGAGGCTTACTTTACAGGATTGTTGTAAGGATTACACTAAAATAATGCATCTGAAACATTATGGCATAAATCTGATTGCTAAATCTAACGTTCTTTGTGCTTAAATTGTTTTATTTCACAATAAAAGCTCATTTTTTAAAAATATCAAAACATAATGAGAATAGTATTTTTATTTGTTTCAATAAAGTTAGGTTGCAGTCCTATGCACCCCTGAAAGTGCCAGATTCTGTGTGATTTTGAAAGCTAAACAGAGTCAGGCCCGTTTTAGTACTTAGGAAGGAGACCGTTAGGGAACATCAAGCACTGTAGTCTATAGCCAGAGGAAGGCAATGGCAAACCTCCTCTGAATAAATCTCATCAAGAAAACACCATGATAAGACCACAGTAAATTGGAGTTGACTTAAAGGAATATGACAAGGTCCCAAAGAACACAGCAGCAACTATAAAGCAGCATTAATGCTTCAAAACCATTTGCCCTTTATTTGAGCAAGTCATTTTTGACTAGTCAAATGCCCACCTCTAGACTAAATGTATGGATAACAAACCCCCTTCCCAAAAAATAGTTAGGGTTGGAAGCAATCCCAAGGGCCATCCAGTCCAACCCCTGCCATGCAGGAATACACAATCAAAGTAGCCCCAATAGATGGCCATCCAGTCTCTATTTTAAAAAAAAAAAAAATCACCACACTCCACTCCAAGACATATTCTTGTTTTTCCTAATGTTTAGATGGAACGTCTTTTCCTGTAGTTTGACTCCATTGATCTGTGTCCTGGTCAGTGGCATTACTGCCCGGGGTGTCACCCAGTGTGAAGGGTGAGGTTTTTTGGGGGGGGGCAGGGCCAAAAGTACACACACCCTTGCCTCACTGCCACACACTGCTCTACTCATAAGTAAAACAGCATGTGGCAGGAAGGTAGGGGTACATTTTGCACTCTCTCTCGTTGCTGTGCACTGCTCTACTTGTCAACAGAACAGTGTGTGGCAGGGAGCATGCTAGGCACTCTCCCTCATTGCCACACCCCACTCTACTCATGAGTAAAACAGTGCATTAAGCCAGGTGTCACCCCTCTTCTAGGGTGTCACCCGGTGTGGTCTGCACCTCCAAGTGACACTACTGTCCTTGTCTCTGGGTCAGCAAAAAAAACAAACAACTTGCTTCGTCCTCAATATGACATACTT